GTTCTCTCTCACATCTTGCTCTCTCCGCCTGCAAAATCTCCTCTTTTGTCTGGGTTTTTTTTTGCCTTCTTAACCCCATTACCCCAGAGGTGTTATGACCGTGATGGGCTCGGCCTTGGCTGGTGGCGGGTCCGTCCTGGAGCCGGCTGGTGTTGGTCCTGTCAGACACAGGGGAGGCTTCCAACAGCTTCCCCCCAAAGCCACCCTGTAGCCCTCTGCTACCAAAACCTGGCCACGCAGACCCAAAGCAGGTTTATTCTCGCTATCTACAACCCAATCCACGTTTGATAATGACGTACTGCTGAGGTCAGAGGGGGTGACAGGCTTCAGTGTGGGGTTTTCATGACCTAAGAGTGTTTTGTGGTTTGTTTTTTTGTTGTTGGTTTTTTTTTTCTGAAACCTCTCCAGATTTCTCTGTCTGTCATCTGATTCCTTCAGCTAAAGCTAGGAAACCTTTTGAAGTAGAGATTTTGGCTTTCCAATAGCATAGGGAGCCTCGGGAACCAGAGGGGTCTGGGCAGCTCAGCCATGAAGACAACGTTTCCCATGTGATTCAGAACTAGGCTCCAGGATTCAGAAGTGGGGCTGGATTTCCCATAGTGCCTTACTTCCCGTTGAGGTGAACTTTCAGCAGAGCTTAGTGTACAAACCAGAAAGTTTTGTTAAAACCAGGCCCTGCTAATTCCTTCTTGAAGCTCTGGCTGCGAGGCCCGGTTGGTGTTGAGTGTCCTGTGCCAGATGAGGTGGGTTCGCCCGGTCCTGGCGGACAGGTTCCCACATCGGACCACAGCTATATTTGTCACGGATCATCATTCCTATGGGAAGGCTGAAGGGTTAAGGGCTGAATGAGTCCCCTCCCTCCTTCTCTTCTTTCCCTTCCAGCTGTACAAATGTTGTGTGTCAGAACAGGGTGAGACTCTGCGCCTGGTGGTGACATGACAAATAGCTGAGGGTAACTTGGGCCAACAGGTAGCCCCCAAATCGTGATGGTAACCTTGAAACGATAAATTTGCTGACTCCTTTTTTTTCTTGTCACGTCATCCTTTCCCCGCAAAGAGTTAAAGCGTGAGGCCTGCGGCGCGTGAACCAGCCCACTAGTGATGTTATTTCCCAGCTGCGTAGAATCGGTGGCTCTGTACACGTAGGTTAGTCTGTCAGTTCTCAACTACAAGCCCCGATGCAAATAACTCTCCTCCGGCAAACCAGCTTCTACACGGAAACGCTGCGGCGTTCAAACGGTCGTCCCAAGGGTGTGCTGTCGTGACCTCTTGCTTTTCCTCTTTCCAGCTGTATCCTTGGGGAACTGTTTACAAAGAAGCCTATTTTTCAAGCCAATCTGGAACTGGCTCAGCTTGAATTAATCAGGTAAAGCATTGCACAGGCATGCCTGCGAGAAGAGGTGCTGCGGAAACTGCTTGTGCACACCGTCGCTGTGTTACAAGAACCCTCTTTCACTAATCTGCCTGTAAAACATGATCAGCAGATCTGTGGCCGCAGATGCGCGTAGTTCAGCGTTCAGGTGTCCGTGCCACAGCGAGCGTGTGGCTGCCAACGTAACCTCAGGCTTTGCTGTTAGTTCAGCGCCAAAATCATGAACCTAAATGACATCTCAGTGGAAATTTATTGTGTCGGGTGATTTATAAACTCAAGATAAGCATTTTTCCTTCTCTTGGTACATCCTTTTTAACCTGAGGGTTACCTAATCCTTGTCGAAGCGTGCCCAGGCCTAGATTATTGGTGCAGTAAGCTGCTTAGAAAAGAAACGCTTTCACTGGGGTTGGTGACTCTCCTCTCCATATCTGCATTTCGCCTGCTGATTGTGCTCTGCTTTCCTGGTTCGCAGCCGGCTCTGCGGGAGCCCCTGCCCGGCGGTGTGGCCAGATGTCATCAAGTTGCCCTACTTCAACACTATGAAACCGAAGAAGCAATACCGAAGGCGCCTGCGCGAGGAGTTCTCCTTGTGAGTTTGGTTAGAAGAGAAGGGGAGGGACACTACAGCCTTTTTTCATGCTGTGCAACTCCTCTGTTAGCCTCTGGCTCTACCTGGTTGGCTGAAGCAGTGCTTTCTTCTTGCCTTCTGCCCTTGGGCAGCCCTCTCCAGGAGGGTTTCTCCCACCTGGGGAAGGCTGGAAATGGGGTCTCTGTCCCCTTCCTAAGTATCTGATCTGCCACAGGTGCCTTCCGGAGGGGTTTCCTGCCTCGCTCGTGACCCTTCTAGCTAGGGGCTGTGCCTGGGAAGCGTGCCTGACGGTATGGCATTCTCACGGTGCCGAAGCTGCCTGGCCCCAGAGACTTGTTCTCTGGGAGAGAGTACAAAGGTGTGATCATCTCGTGGGATTTGTAGCAGAGCTGCTGCTCTTAAATAGCAAAAATTAGACTGCAAATACCATATAGCTCGTGTCTTTGAGCTGCTGCATCAGGTAGTAATAAGTTTGGACAGCATGGTTTTCTTAGGCCCCAGTTATCTCTCTGGAAGTGGGCTTCTCCTTCTCTGCAGAACAACCCTGAACTCGGTATTTCTCTCTCCGCAGCATTCCAACGTCCGCTCTCGACCTGCTGGACCACATGCTGACACTAGACCCCGGCAAGCGCTGCACAGCCGAGCAGGCCCTGCAGAGCGACTTCCTTAAGGACGTCGACCTCAGCAAAATGGCACCTCCGGAGTAAGTTCCAGCTGGCATCCTCCGCCGCAGTGGGCTCGCTGCTAATGAGCTTTGGGAAGGAGCCACTGGCTTGGCCTTGGGAGGGGGGTTTGGTTTTGTTTTGGTTTTTTTTTTTCCCCAGACAGAATTAAGTTATTTCTGGGCTCTTTTCTTGACTCTGCCCTTGCGTTTTTGTTGTAGGGCTGAGCAAATGGCTCTTCCTGCTGCTGGTTTTTGGCCTGATAACAGGCGGGGTTTACAAAGCCCAGTTCAATGCTTGTAAGGTGCTCTAAAACTCTTGAAAGATGTGAAAGAGCAGCGTGTAGCATTTCCCTGTCCTCTGTGCTGCAGAGGACTGGCCAGGCCTCGTTTGTGCTGCTCATTAATTGACTAGAAGAGTGGCTGTTGAGCAGAGCCACACTGCAGCTCTTTTCTTCTACTCCAGTCAAGCGGATTATCAACCTCTGTTCTAGCTGCTTTGCGCACAAGCAGGGCAGGAGCTTCCAAGATTCCCATTTCCTTCAGAGTTACTAAAGGAGCTGATTCTTAAAGACACCAGATGCTCAAAGCTTGGTGGACTCACGTTCACTGGGGCTTGTGTGTGTTGTAGTGGAGAGATTGGGGTGGGACATGAGAGAGAAATCCTTCCCCGAGAGGGTGGGGAGCACTGGGACAGGTTGCCCAGAGAAGCTGTGGATGCCCCATCCCTAGGAGTGTCCAAGGCCAGGCTGGATGAGGCTTGGAGCAACCTGGTCTAGTGGAAGGTGTCCCTGCCCATGGCAGGGGGTGGGACTGGGTGGGCTTTAGGGTCCCTTCCCACCCAAACCAATCTGGGATTCTATAACACAGCATGCTCAGGGGTGAGATACCAGTGCAAATTAAATGAGTCACCTACAATTATGCTGCCTTTCCCGGGTCTGGGACTTCCGTCTTCCTGGTTGCAGTCAGAGGGACATCTCTGCTTCTCTTACAGCACTAGTAACTTTTCCTGTGGTCTTTGAGGGTTAAATGGGGTTTGTTTCCCTGATTTTAACTGCTAAGTGTCGTTCTCTTCCAGCCTTCCCCATTGGCAGGACTGCCACGAGCTGTGGAGCAAGAAACGCCGACGGCAGCGGCAGAGCGGGATCGCAGTGGAGGAGCCACCGTTATCAAAAGTTTCTCGGAAAGAAACTACCTCTGTTACAAGCACAGACACTGTCAAAAACAGCAGCAGCCCTGTGCACCCACAGCCTGCCCAGCTCAAAGCGGAGGCTGGGGCCGGAGATGCAGTAGGTCAGTGCCCACCCTGGGCTGTAAAAGGCCCCCCCGATACGTCACCTCGGTGGTCTGGGTCTGTTTTCATGCCAGTTTGGTTCCTTCACACCTATCCCAGCAGAAAGGGCGTTCCAGAATCTTCTATCTTGGGGGATTTTTTGTCCTCTGCTGTTGGCAGCAGAGCCAGCCGGTCTTCAGGAGTCACTCACCGATGAGCTGACGGTGATCTTGTTCTGTGAGGTGTATTAGTGGTTCCAAAACACGCTTTCGGAGAGAGACAGAATAACGCCGTGTCGGCTGGTGACGTAACAGATAACGGGCTGGAATGTGCAGCCATGTGGAGGGTGTACAGAGGAGCCAACGCTGGAGCTCCTCGATGGAATTATGCAAAGGTTAAGCGTGGGATGTATCAGACTAGTGGCTGGTGGGCAGAAGCGTTCGTTACTGCGCTTTGCTTCTGGCAGAAAAGCTCGCTTGGCCATAAGGACTTGCAGGACCAGGACCTGTGTACTGTTTCCAAACCTGATCCACCTTCCAGTGTCTAGAGAACAGTTGGAGGGGAGGTATTTTTCTTCCTGGGAATGTAGGGAGATAAAAGGCTGCCTTGGTCTGTAGGAGCCTTATGAAAACCCATATATGGGCTAAAGCTTCCTTTTGTGTCTAATGCCCTGACAAGTAATGAGGAAGACAGTTCTTGCTCCAGGGAATGCACGATCCATGTGTTCCATGAAACATGGCAGATGGACAAAAGGTGGTGGTTGGCTTAGCAAAAAGCTGGGAAAAGCGAGTGTCACGTTCTTAGTTGCCGACCAGCAACAGGATCTTTGTTTTAAGCTTCTAAAACCAAACCTTTGCACCCTTCTTCCCCAAAAAACCTTGGTTTACAGTCAGCATGAAGGGACACCCTTGTCACTTGTCCCTCAGGAGGCTGCGCTCCAGCGTGGTGCGAAGGGAGGTGACGCCGCTCAAGGATTGTATTTTGGACTAACCTGGGTACTTGCAGGTCGGGATAGAGGCCTCTGATCCCAGACCAGTTTCAGCAAGGAATTTGCCTTCTGCTTGACCTAATTTCTTTCGCTGCGTCATTGGAACACACCCTCCCTCTGTCCCAAACAGCAGCTTAGCTCCATCCCGGGAAACCTGCTTTCCGGTGCAGGAGGGAGTGCTTTTGATCGGCAGAGTGCTGCGGGGAACTCGGGAGGGGCCGAGCTGCTCCCGGATTTGCTGCTCTGATTACCACGAAGTGGGCCAAACGTTTCCAGTCCCTGTCACACATCCTCAGGCCTGCTGCCCTGACTAGCCATGTGCTTGGTCACCGGCCTGGTTCTTGGGATGCCCTCAGTGGGATCGTTGAGGAACAGGGAAGTTTGGCTCGACTAAGCTGTTTGGAAGCAGGTTTAAATGGAAAGAGGGAGATGGAGATGGGACATCAGGAAAGAATTCTTCCCGGAGAGGGTGGGAGGCACTGGGACAGGTTGCCCAGGAAGGATGTGGATGCCCCATCCCTGGGAGTACCCAAGGCCAGGCTGGATGAGGCTGGGAACAGCCTGGTCTAGTGGAAGGTGTCCCTGCCCAGGGCAGGGGGCTGAGACTGAGCAGGACCCCGCTGTAGCCCTGGCTGAGTGCAGTGTGTGTGCAGTACCACGGGGTGCTGCTGCAGCGCTGCTCAGAGCTGATTGCAGGCTGGAGGGGGGCAAGCAGATGGTGGAAATCTGGGCAAACTCTCCTGGAATCCTCCTTCTGGAGCCTCCATGCCTTCCCTCGACTCAGGGACATGGAGCAGAGGTGTTCATTGACAGCGTCAGGATTAGAAACGGCTGTGATGTAGCTTCGCCTAACCTTCCTGCGATGCTGCTTGTGTTTCCTGCAGGCCTCGGAGAAATCACCCAGCAGCTGAATCAGAGCGAGCTGGCTGTTCTACTCAACTTGCTGCAGAGCCAGACTGATCTGAGCGTCCCACAGATGGCCCAGCTGCTGAACGTACACTCGAACCCTGAGATGCAGCAGCAGCTGGAGGCTCTCAACCAGTCCATCAACGCGCTGACGGAAGCCACGACTCAGCAGCACGAGTCTCGGGCGGCAGCGGCAGAGGAAGGCATACGCCCGTGGAGGCCCAGCTACCGGAGGAGCCGGCGACTCCAGAAACAGCCAGCGCTCAGGGAGATATGCAGAACGTGCTGGCCGTTCTGCTGAGTCAGCTGATGAAGAGCCAGGAACCCGTGCTAACCCTGGAGGAGAGCAATGGGGAGAAGAACAGTGAGCAACGGGGGCCGAGGAAAACCCCGACCGTGCATCCCGAGGACGGCACAGGTAAATAATCACGACGGTTGCGTGGATGCTGTGCACTTGTTTGAACAGTTAAAAGTATTCTGTGTGAGTGCCTCTGGTTTAACTGCAGCCCAGAGGAAGCAGGACATCGGAGTGTTGTGACGGAGGGATGCAGGGGGGTGTGGGTGGGAGGGGGAAGGGTGCTGGGTGCTCGAATGTGGTCAGACTTCGGGTTTCGGGACTGAGAAAGATGCTGACCTGCTCCCCGCAGTAAGTGCTGGACTGCTCAGGAGGTGATAACGGCTGCCAAAAGCCAGAGCGGGAAAATACGGACTACTCCACATCTCCACAGCATCTCCAATCCCTTGGTGCTCCGGTGTGAGTTGGGTCAGTGGGGATCCGAGGGTTTGCTTTTTTCCCGACAAATGAAAGGGACACATGGAGGCAGAGTTCTTCCTCGGATATCCCTGGGAATGCGTTTGCACCTTCAGGTGGGGTTTTTTGCACAGGACACAAGATCTCTGCAGACTTTAGAATCATGAAATCCTTTAGGTTGGAAAAGACCTTTAAGACCGAGTACGGATGTTGACCCAGCACTGCTGAGGCCACACGTCTCAGATCCCTCCCGGGATGGTGACTCTCAACCTCCCTGGGCAGTTCCAACCCAACAGCCCTTTCCAGGAAGGAATATCACCAATATCCAATCAACTTGAGGCCATTTCCTCTTGTCCCATCACTGGGGAGAAGAGACCGACCCCCCTCTCTGCACCCTCCTGTCAGGGAGCTGTAGGGAGCGATCGGGTCTCCCTGAGCCTCCTTCTCTCCAGGCTGAATCCCCCCAGTCCCTCAGCTGCTCCTCACAGGGATTGTGCTCCAGCCCCTTCCCCAGCTCCGTTCCCTTCTCTGGGCACGCTCCAGCCCCTCAGTGTCTTGCAGTGAGGAACCCCAAACTGACCCCCGGATTTGAGGTGCAGCCTCACCAGTGCCCAGCACATGGGGACGATCCCTGCCCGTGTCCTGCTGGCCACACTGTCCCTGATGCAGAAATTTTCCCATCTCGTTTGTCCCAACTCTCTCCCCGTTCCCTTCTTGCGCTCTCAAAAAGCCCAGAGGTGATTTTAAAGGGCAGGAGAACTGAAGTTTTGGAGAGTGCGGGAAAGGAGGGACGGAGACCATTGTGCCTCCAGCTCCCGTGTGCCTGCTTATACGTGGAGTTGACTCCCGGGAGCCCTGACAGCCAGCGCCTTCTGCCGCTGGGCAAGCAGCTGATGCTCGTAGGGCGAGTAAGACGTGATTGTATCGGGGAACTCTTGGCTTTTCCAAGGTGAGTGTAAATGTCTCCATGTCTTTTTTGTTTTGTTTTGTTTTGAATTATTAGCAAACAGCCTGTGACGACCTCACCAAAATTCTAGAAGCGCCTCCTGAGTATGTCTCAGACTCCGGGGAGCCTCTTTTGGCCCGATACACAACTCCTCCGCAATGTAGCTCAACGCGCTGTGTTCTCGTGCCTTCAACACACCCGCCCACCACGAGCCAGTCGTGATCGTGCTTTCCTTTTCCTTTTCTTTTCCTGCCCTAGTACTGGAAGATAACTAGGTTACTGTAGAGCAGAGTCAATTAAACACCGTTGCTCTCTGGGTTTATAATTATTTCCAGTGATACGCTCTCCCCAAATCGGCTTGGCTTTAAAGTTACCTGAAGATTGTTTTCTGGATTTAAACGCAATCTAGTTTGCGAGTGGACTGACCGCTGCGGGTGGAGGGGGTGGGCCTGGAAGACTACTGGTTTTCACAATAAAGTTTGACCTTTTTAATAACCAGTTTTGCCAATGACTTGAGGATCTGATTCCACCACGGCGCTCCCGGCCTCTCGCGCCGTCGCCAGGAGTGAATCCGCCCCCCCACGTAGACGACCCTTTTCTCCAGGAACCGCTTGAGTTCAGTTCAGTTGTTGCTCCGCAGGACCTCAGGCCTTGGGGGAGTGGGTTGTGTCCTCCCCCTTGGTGTCCGGAGCGGGGCCAGAGCTCTGCTCCCACCTTTCCCACCGTCCAAGCAGGCTGCTTGGTCCTTTCCCAGTAACGCCAAGTACTGGGGTTGGGGGCGAAGGGTGCCGTTGGCCGTGCTAGGAGGGGTCCTGTGGAAACATAATCTTTGTGCCTTTAGGTTGGATTCTGGGAGGGGTGGGATTTGTGGTGTGAAGGGACGGGGAGGTGGTAAAACAGTTTTCCTCATGCTCCAGGTCAGCCTGTACGCTGCATGCCGATGTTTGGGGTTGTTTGGGGCTCTACGCCGGACTTGTACCATGTAAAACGGGGTGTAAAGCACCGCCGGCTCCGGTGGGGAGCAGAGGGGACACGAGGGGGGTGCACCCCCTCCCTTCAGCCCCATGTGGGCACAGTCAGGGTCCAAAAATCCCTGCCTTGTTGGGGTTTCGCCTCTTGGCAGCGGGACACCCCGCTTTCGGGGAAACAACATGCCATCACGTGGCTCCGCATCCATCTCTCCAATAGCCTTTGATCCAAGAGCAGGAATTCCCTCCACGGGTGCCGGTGTCTTAGGGCAGCTGCTGCGGAGTAGTTTGGGGTTGGGGGGG